ATGTGAAAACAGGCACCTTGAAAAGGGTCACAAAAATGCAAGGAATTATTATTATGCTGCAGTGAGTATATTGCCGATACCATGCACGTCTCTATGTTTGAAGAAATAAAAAACAGTACAATCCAACACATCCCTTCCAGCCCCCACCCCACAAATTTTCCATTATATTCTATTACCCAAGCACAATGCTGGGAGCTGCTTATCAAAAGATGAATTGCGCATCTTAGGATGCACTGCGTTCTGAGTGCTACTGAGAAAGAGAAATTGAAGTGAGAGAAACCCTAAAGTAATTACAGGACTTGAACTTCAAAGAAAGCCCTGGGTGTCTTCCTTGGTGTGACAGACACATGGACACTAAGGGGTCTGTGTTTTTACCAATAAGTATTCTTCATGCATGTTAAATTTTGTGCACTGTTTGGGGATGGAGGCCAGGGGCGGAGCAGGGACGAAATTCTGTGGCCAAATAACGTTCACAAGCACTGGGAGAGATGTCGTCTTGGGGTCCTTCCTCATACGAAATACCGGGAATCCAAGGTTAGCATGATAGGGGATTAGAATGTAAAAGAAAAGGAAAGTGACTTTCCAAATGTGGTACTTCAGAAACTGTATTGCAAAGCTAATAGGGAGTAATTGGAGAATGAAAGGAATGGCATATTTTTCTTCAAATCTATGAAGTCCTGACAAGGGGAGTACTTGGAAATAACCTCTCCTGGTAACGTAAGTGCTAAGGGTAGAATCTGAATTGCTGGCAGAGGACAAACCTGGCCTTGCCGCTGCCACTGTTTATGTTAAAAGGCAAAAGCATGTATATTAGGGCCACACAATGCTAAAGTGTGTCCATTCCCTCAGGGTCTGCCCTAAGACTGGGAGCAGGAGTTATCAGGTTTTCCTTAATGGTTGTTGATTTAAAATAAAACAGCCAACGCCAATGACGTTACAGGTAATATTTCAGACATTTCTCCACTTTCTCCATGGGAAGCGATGTTTGGTTGGAAAAAAATGCCTGGCTTTTGGAGTCAGATGACACCCTCTTTGGGGCTCAAGTTTTCTCCTTATTGCAAGTCTGGAAAACATGATGTAGGTCAGCTTCCCATCCATGCCTTCAATTCTGTCACCTGAACTGGGATTATCCCCTCCCTCAGAGCCAGGTTGAAGGTCCAGAGAGAGTCCCTTTGTGACCATGGTTTGAAAGTAGGTAGGCTGTCTATAGCATGACATGCAAAAGCTCTCTGATTTCAATCCTCTTAGCAACTGCGAGATAACCTGGACAGGCCCATTCTACAGAAGGGAATCTGAAGTCATCCAGGGTTCACAAGCTCACCTGAGGACCCCAAGCCAGTGCCTGAGTTAAACCTCTGTCTCTAACCATAAAGTCACCACCTCACAAGTCCCTTCACTCTCTGGCCACACATATTTTAGGATAAGCTCCCCACCTCCTTCCAGTCTCATGGCTCTCTCATCCTCCCTGTACTCCAGAGAGAACTTTCTAATCTGATTAGCTCACCTCGCTGCTGAAAATCCCTACTGCGGTTTCTGTTGCCTGGACATTCCTACCTGAGGGTCTGTAGACATGTTTCCCGTGGCTTGTGAGCTTCCTGAGACTATAAGTAAATTCAGTGTGCGTTTTTATGGATGTCAGTCTCTCTCTGCCAAAAGGGAGCTCAGCTCATCAGGTTTTCAGAGTTGTCTGTGGTCTCACACAGGGCCCAGAGCCCTTGGCCCCTAGGGAGGCCCTCAGCATCCGGTACGGCATGGTAGTCATTAGCTGGCCCTTCCTTTCTTTCGCCTCTTCAGTCTTAAACACAGAACCACTTGCCTTTTTTCCCACTCACACCCAACACGTCCCACCTTTGGCCTTTTGCTCCTCTCAGGGCCCCCATCTGACCTGGGCTGGAAGCCTGTTCCAGGGCTTTGCTAGTATCTGACATATCTTTGTCGCTTGAATTCCTTGCATTTAAAAAGTTGTACTTCATGGATTGCGGAAGTAGAATTACATATTGTAAAAGAAACACAAACTTAGAAATTGAAAGGTCCCCGGGATTCCAAACCCAGAGATAAATCCCCTTTAACACTTGAGTGTATGTCCTTTCAGACTTTTTTTCCAACCTATATATAGAACAGTACATAGGGGCACCTGGGTGGCTCAGTCAGTTGAGCGACCGACTTTGGCTCAGGTCATGATCTCCCAGTTTGTGAGTTCAGGCCCCGAGTCGGGCTCTGTGCTGACAGCTCGGAGCCTGGAGCCTGCTTTGGAATCTGTGCCTCCCCATCTCTCTGCCCCTCTCCTGTTCATGCTCTGTCTCTCTCTCTCTCTCAATAATAAATAAATGTTAAAAAAAATTTTAAAAATAAAAATAAAAAAAAGAACAGTACATAATTAAACTGTACTTACTTTACAAAAATGGGGCCATAATTTACACTTCCTGTCCTATAACTAGATCTTTTCCTTTGATCGCATGGCCATGTCACCTTTTCGTACCTTGCAGATAGATTTGTAATGTACCCTTTTAAAAGCTTTTCACATTCCATTGTATGTATCTATCATTGTGCATTTAAGTGACCTCTTACCCGTGGATGAATAGTTACATTGTTACTTCAGGTTCCTCCTTTTTTTTCAAATATGGTTCCTGTGACTGGCCTTGGTCATATAACTTTATGATTATTTCTGCAAAATTTTCCTAGAAGTGATAACATCTGTGCCATTTAAAGTTTAATATCACTAGCAAATCGTTCCTCCAATGTTCAAATGCTATTTGCACTTTAGAGGAGACCTTAAATTTAACATTTAATGTTTATTGAATAAATGAGTCTAGGATGGGCTCTTGTCCTGGGTTTATCATAACTAGCCCTGCCCTGATCTTTTTGGATGTTAAATTTCCTTGTCTCACAATGAATAAAAGATTCCAGCATGCAGCTCTATTTTTTTTTTTTTTTTTTTGTCTCTGTCACCGGCCACATACCGTGGTTTATTCACTGTTGTCCGTTCTCCATCCAGATTGTGTCCAACAATGAAATAAAATCCCAATGTAAGATTAGTAACCAACATAAACAAAAATTGAGGGCCTTTTAAAGGCTTTCTGCATGTCCATACTCGCAACCTCCTGTACATTTCAAATACCTAAAAAATGAAAAATATAGAGAAAGGTCCAAATAGGTGCCAAGTAACAACTTGACATAGGCTTAGGTGGCGTTTTATGCCTCAGACATCACACAAATAATCAACATGTATCTTGGAGTGGTTGAAATACATGTTGGTAGTAAGGATGAAACATTTGTACAGGTATTTGTGCTTTGTAGGATTTTCACATCTAAGAACTCATTTAGTATAGGGAGGAGAACAGGTGGATGAATATGCAGCTATAAGTTTTGTTGAAGTGATTCTTGTAAACTGTTCATGAAAGGAGAAATTCTTGATAACAACTTAAGGATGCATAAACAGAGAGGGAGACAAACCATAAGAGACTCCTAAATACAGACAACAAACTGAGGGTTTCTGGAGGGGAGGTGGGGCGGAGGGCATGAGCTATATGGGTAATGGGCATTAACGAGGCACTTGTTGGGATGAGCACTGGGTGTTATATGTAAGTGATGAATCCCTGAATTCTACTCCTCAAACCAATACTACACTATATGTTAACTAACTTGGATTTAAATTAAAAATTAAAAACATAAAAGTAAGAAGAATTTACATTCTCAGTCCCGGCTTTCTCCATTAGTCGTCATGGACATCATTATTTCTTAACTTTTTAAAAAAATGTGTATTTATTTATTTTTGAGAGAGAGAGCATGCACACAAGCAGGGGAGGGGCAGAGAGAGAGAGGGAGACAGAGAATCCGAAGCAGGCTCTGGGCCCTGAGCTGTCAGCGCAGAGCCCCACACGGGGCTTGAACTCACTAACTCTGAGATCATGAGCTGAGCCGAAGTTGGATGCTAACCCAACTGAGCCACCCAGGTGCCCCATTTCTTAACTTTTTATACGTTTTTCTGTTATAAGCACATTGATTAAAGATGCTGGAGTGTGATACCGGGAATGGTCAAAGTTATAACATACGCAAAGGAAAACAGAATTATACATTATACATTCCCTTTTATTTACATCATGCAAAGCTACTTTACATCTGGCATCTGGCCTTTCCTTTTTCTCTACATACTTTGGATTCTTGGTCAAACATCTCAGGTAATCTTTCCCCTGACACTTGACTCCCTGACAGTGCTATAATTCTGGCTCGCTCACCTATTTAAACACCAACCCAGTGTCAGTGCTTTTGATTTACCTCCCCCATTTGGTATGTGGCTGTTTGTAGTACTAGGGGGAAAAGCTACTCAACCACCTTAACCAGAACACAAGGCCATTGACTTTCTGCCCCCCTGTACCCCATCAGATCCATCCCATCTCCTATCTCAAGCTTTGTACAAGCTGCAGAAATACACAACTGCCAGGAGCTCCTTAAACCAGTTAGCCTTTTCTCACCTGAATATAAGAACCGCTGCCTATAAGTTTCCTGCCTTTTAGCTGAATAAGTCCTAGTCTGCACCTGCCTCTTCTCTGGAATACTTCCTTTCAGGCTACATGAGAGGTCCCTTATGTACCCTGATTGTGCAGTTCCTAAAGTTGCTTTATCTTTAATTATTAATGTGCCTGTACCTCTCATTTGACTGTAAACTCCATAAGGGGGGAAGCTCAATTTATTCATCTTGTTTTTATAAATATACAACTGCTCCGTAGTGACTGCTTAGCAATTACTGAATGCAATAGATTCCTACTGTTGTAAACATGGTTTTCTAAAGCCCGGTAGATGACTCATCTCACTAAGACAGGTGAATACTGACAATGATGTGTCCAAGATCAGACACCGAAGAATGTTAAAACTGATTCTAAAACCCAGATCTCTTAGTAGCCATGTCCAGTACCTTCTCCTGTACAATGCAAACGCTACTTGATTGCTTTGATTGTCTAGATTGCATTTAAAGAACTAACTGTGTGTTTTCTGCCTTTCAGAGTGGACAAACAGGATCCATGGGGCCTCCAGCTGTTCCCCCTTCATTCCGCCCTGAAGATGAGCTCGAACACCTAACCAAGAAGATGCTGTATGATATGGAAAATCCACCTGCTGATGAATACTTTGGTGAGTGGGGTTGAGAGCTGGCTTCTGAAGTGAATGCCTTGTTCGGTTTTTCTTAATTGATAATGAGGAGTATCAGCATCTCCACTGGCAAACGATTTGGGTCTAGATGCATTGGAGTTCGAATGCACAAAATGGAAGGTTCTGGAAATTGCTTTGTGAGACTGCCATAAATGTGATATCTGTTCAGCTCATACTAAAAGCACAAGGGTATTGTACAGTTTCTTGGAATACAAATTTGATTTTAAAACTAATTTTTGACAGTTTGTAAGCTTCTCTAAATTAGGCAGAAATAGGATTTCTGTATGTGTTCAGGCTCCTCACTGGTCTAAATATTTATATACGTGCAGGGACATCTGGGTGACTCAGTCGATTGAGCGTCAGACTCCTGATTTCGGCTCAAGTGACGATCTCATGGTTGGTGAGATCGAGCCCCATGTTGGCCTTTGCGCTGACATTGTGGAACATGCTTGGGATTCTGTCTCTCCCTCTCTCTTCACCCCCCTTTTCTCTCTCAAAATAAATAAATAAACATTTTAAATAAATAAGTACATAAATATTTATATACAAAATACGGAATTGGATAGTGTCTAAATTCTGTACTTTCAATTCTTTCCCCTCTGAAAGTTTAGGAAAAGATGTCCCACTGTATTTTTTTCAACCTTCTCCCCTCTCCAAATCTGTGAATAATTATGAATGGTTATTTCATCCAGTCCGTTAGTGTAATGTGAATTTATGAACTGAATGCCAATTAAGAGGTGTTATGAATACATAACCTGTACTCAGGGAGGTTGTAATTATTCAGGAGAGATAAGAAAAACACATAAGTAATGACTAATCTTGGTAGAAAACCATAAGAGGCATAAGAGAGACTTATGTTAAATATTATAAAATTTAAAATCTCTACTCATCAGGAACATTAGGAATGCCTTCTAAGGGAATCGGTGGCACCTGAACCTGGCCCTTTTAAAGCAGTGCCTCCCAAACTTTCTGTGATGAAAACTGTTTCTTTCTCCATCTGTCGGAGACCAGTATTTGTATAGAGCACAGTTAAAATTAATCGCTAAGAAAATGAAATAAAAACAATACAAAATGGAAGGCCAAGTTTTACCATTATGAGATCTAACAGGGATGTGTTACTCTATTAAAGTGTTATATTATTTTCTAAATACTCCCTGTTTTTGTACTCGTTCCACTGCAGGGCGATAAACATTTCTTAAACACCCATCCATGGACCACAGTTTGAGTAGTGTCGTTTTGGGGACATGTGGAGAGAGGATATTACATTGAGGGGAGAGCAGCAGCAGAGGCACAGAGGTGGAAACATTACACAGGGCTTTTATTTTTCCTGACATTTACTATTTTTGTGTCTCCCCCTTGCTTCCTATTTGGGAATATGTACTATTCGGTGAACTGAGGGCCCTGATCCAAAGCCACGCCATAGATGGAATGGGTTAGGATATGAAAAATGTAGCACTGATTTATATATAGGGTATAGGTCAATAGGGGGAGTAATTAATTCTGGTTCTGGTCTTTTCTGTGCCCTTGACTAGCTAAGCAGCATTGAAATGTGCTCCATCTGCTTAAGCCCTATTTCCCACCTTGGTAAATCAAGAGTGTGCAGCAAATGATTTCTCGAATTTCTATCAACACTAGTAGTTCCTATAGAAACAGCACTAATCCAAAGAAATACAACAAAACTAAAAGCTAAACATAACTTGATAGGACAAATGCATGGAGAATAGTTATTTTAAAAGAGTCTCTAGTTATATTAAAATATACCAAGAGTGTATCATACTCTTGTTCTTGATATGGGGAAAAGTTTTATATTGGAATCTAAGGTAAACTTTTTAAAAGATCATGTTAAAAGCAAAAAATAAGGTTACCATATTAAGGTAGATTAAAAATAAAAAGCAACTAACATAACATGTCTATATGCCTCAAATATCATAGCAACTAAATACATACCAATAAGGAAAATTGAACATAGATGGTATTTGTGCTTATGAATATGTATTAAGATCTCTGCAAAATAGACATAAGTTAAATATTATCTTTGCATTTAAGAACTGCCCTAGTTACTAGCGTGGACAGCTTGCACAACTCTCTTATGCTCACTCAGTCTTTGTTTTTGTTTTGCTTTATCTATAATGTGGAAATAATTGCTAGCTCATACTGTTATTGTGAGTATTGAGTGAAATATTTATAGAAAGCACTTAGCCAAGTTCTTGGCATGTAGAATGTCCTCAATAATCAAAGTTATCCCATGCTTTATTTAAGAAAATAAAATATGCCCATTAAAAGTCCATTAATAATACCTGATTTAAATTTAAGTTCCTACCAAAAATAGAACATGTGTCACCAATTGGTAAATAATCATTGCCAAATAAGGATTATGAAGCATGAGAGAGAATGTGGAATAATGATTAACTTTTATTGAGTGCTTACAATATGGTGTCACTATTTTATGTACTTTATAAGAATTAACTCATTTTATCCATATAGAAAATATATAACCCTGTAAATGCTATGATTATTTCCAGATTAGGAAATTGAACCACCAAAATGTTAAGTAATCTTCCCAATATCGACAGCTAATAAATTGCAGGACTGGATTAGATTCCAGACTCTACTCTTTTTTTTTTCCTTCTAAAAACTTTTCCCCCAGCTTTCCTAAGATTGACCAACAAAACAAAACAAAACAAAACAAAACAAAACACCCAAAAAACAAAAAACAACAAAAACAATTGCACATAACCAGGATCTACAACTTGGTGGGTTTGGACATATGTATACATTTGCCTTGCCATCAACACAATCCCACTAATAAACATATACATTACCTCCAAAAGTTTAAGCTGGATAATTAGGAATGGTTTTATGGAGATCAGCTTTGGATAGAGAGAAAATAGAAGAAGGATATTCTCTCCTAAGTAGATAAAATGAACAAAAGACAAGTTGAAGTCAGGATTATTTAAGGAAAATTTACTTTAGGTAGAAAACATCCACCAAGTGCCTATTACGTGCAGACTACTCTGCTAACTGTTGGAGACATAAAGAGATAGGCAGACATTGATCTTACCTTTGAAGGTGCCTTTAGTCTAATAGAGAATATATACAGGGTTATAGTGTTTAATCCTAACACAAGACTGAAAGTGACAAGTGACTGAATCAAAGTTGAGCCAAAGTTCTTTGAGAATTCAGAAGAAAAAGGAGAATGGACATCCCCAAGCAGGAATGAAAGCATGTTTATAAATGGTTAGCATTAAAGTTACATCTTTAAAATTACGCTAATAGAGATTTGGAAGAGGGATTACAGTAGAGAAGTGATGTCATTTCCAATGAGGGAAATTTTAACATAATGTAGAATAAAATCGTTAGAGTGAGTCACCAATGTGGAAAGGAACAAAAATTAGGATATAAGGTTGGAGAAGAAGGCAGGAGTCCTCAATGGATGGCGGATTTAATTTAAAAACCTATTAAATATTCGGGGCAAGTTTAGAGAAACTTGAATATGAGGTATATATTAGATAATACATCAACATTCATTTCTTATGTGTGGTAGTGGCATTGTGGTTATACAGAACAGTGTCCCAATTTTTAGGGGCAACATGTTGAAGTATTTAGAGTGAAGTGTCATGATATCTGCAACTTACTTTGAAACAGTCTAGATAGATGATAGATAGGTTGATAAATCTACACATATATATAGATACAGATACAGAAACAGATACAGACACAGACACAGACACAGACATAGACATAGATATTGTGGGGAGGGCAAAGTCACTTTACATTAAAACAACTAGAGATGCCATTACCGCACAGCTACACAGGACATCCTTCTTCCCCCCAAAGGTATTGAAGCTTCACAAATGAATTATGTTAAGACTCCTTCCTTGGGTGGGAGAAATAGTTACATTCCTCTGCCTTCTAAACTTGAGTATTTTAATGGATTTTTAAAAAATGTTTGCTTATTTGTTTGGGGAGAGAGAGAGAATGAGAGCTGGGGAGGAGCAGACAGAGAAGGAGAGAGAGAATCCCAAGAAGCTCTAACCTCAGCATGGAGCCTGACTCGGGGCTCAATGCCATGACCCTGGGATAATGACCTGAGCCAAAATCAAGAGTCGGATGTTTAACTGACTGAGCCCTCCAGGTGCCCCAATGAATTTGAGCTGCCTTCTCTTGTGTACGTTTCCTTCTTTTCTACTGGACACATACCTTTCCTACTGCTGAAGAGATGATAGTCATTAGAATGGTGATGACAGAAGCTGATATCTGTCGAAAGCTCTATTCACAGTCACAGTCTGACTGACAGGTCTGGTGACAATGTCTTCATTTTTATAGGGGAGGACACAGAGATTAGAAAAGCTGAATGAGTTGTTCAAGGTTCCGTAGTTAATAAGCTTCAGGATTTGGACTTTTTCTTGTCCTCTCGAGTCCGTGCTGATTCATCACCATTACAGAAAGGCATATGTTGTTCCTGCAGATTGTCAATAGTTGGCTATCCTGCCTCTTGTCATCCTTTCCCTCCCCAAGTCATGATCTTCAAGTGAGAGACTATCTTTGCCCAGGGCCATTAGTTGTATAGTCAGAACTTCAATGTCACTGGCAATATATTTTAACTGTGTATAACTCCTGAATAATCCCATGAGAAGACAAAGCTCTCTCATGCTCTGAGCATTTTCCATCTACTTGGGCTTATATAATTGGACTCTAGAAGATGCCCAAGTGTCTTTTCTCCCAATGGAGTCCTTGAGAGGGCCTCAAAACACTACCCTGTAGGGAAAAGAAAGGAAACACACCAGAAAATTGGAGGTAGAAGAAAATTCTGATCTGATTCAGTAACCAGGCAGTGGGTCTTTGGCCCAAATCGTTTGCAGCAAGGCTTGCATCTTAGAGCAACCCGTTTCCCTGGGCAACTAGGAAAGCATGTTTTTACTAGGGGAGATTCTCAGTTCCAGGGATACATGTACAGAAAGAACAGGAGGTGATGAACTATG